AGCACTTTGGGAGGCCAAGGTGGGTGGATCACCTGAGGTCAGGAGTTTGAGACCAGCCTGACAAACATGGAGAAACCCTGTCGCTACTAAAAATACAAAATTAGCTGGGTGTGGTGGTGCATGCCTGTAATCCCAGCTACTGGAGAGGCTGAGGAAGGAGAAACGCTTGAACCTGGGAGGCAGAGGTTGTGGTGAGCCGAAATCAGGCCACTGCACTCCAGCCCAGGCAACAAGAGCAAAACTCTGTCTCAAAATAATTTTTTAAAAATTAGTCAGGTGTGGCCAGGCACAGTTTCTCACACCTGTAATCCCAGGACTTTGAGAGGTCATGATGGGGAGATTACAAGGTCAGGAGTTCAAGACCTGCCTGACCAACATGCTGAAACCCTGTCTCTACTAAAAATACAAGAATTAGCTGGGCATGGTGGTGCATGCCTGTAATCCCAGCTACTCAGAAGTCTGAGGCAAGAGAATCACTTGAAACTGGGAGGCAGAAGTTTCAGTGAGCTGAGATAGAGCCATTGTACTCCAGCCTGGGTGACAGAGTGAGACTCCATCTCAAAAAAAAAAAAAAAAAATTAGCCAGATGTGGTGGCATTTGCCTGTAGTCCCAGCTACTTGGGAGGCTGAGGCAGGAGGATTGCCTGAACCCAGGAGTTCAAGGCTACAATGAATTATGATCACACCACTTTACTCCACCCTGGGTAACAGTTAGATCCTGTCTCTAAAAAATCTAAAGCACACAGAAAACATACATCCTAGCTCTGTCCACTATAAAGGTCAAGTAGCAATGAGAAATAATAACGCTATAGTAATGCACACCCCTACTATGCTGGTTATGTCCTCTAAATACCATTCACTAAGACAAAGGCTCTTTGGAGAAATGGCTGATTTCAGAACTGGAGCAGGAACGCATACAAGATAATACTGGAAAGTCTTATTTTACTTGAAAGCAAGGAAGGAAATCATAAAAGACAAAGAGATTATATCAAAAGGACATATAAGCCAACATGAAGAGACTCACTGGCCAAACATAAGACAATTTAGTATTAAAGAACATATGACTGAACCTGAAACACCAAATACAGAAAAAAACCTAAGTTCCTAATGAAAGTTTAAAGTGTCCTCCCCATTCAAGAAACAGATAAACAATAGATCACAACTGTAGGTACACAGGGTATCGACTCTTTATTCTGAAAATATTGATCAAAGGGAAAAAATTAATCATCTATCCTGTCTTTTTGTTTCATATTATTATATACAGCAAGGTAACTAAGTAGCCCCAATTAATAGTGAAGGTTCTGTTTTACAAAAGAATTACAACTAGTACACATAGAATATGTGAGACAATTGGAAACTCAGCATTTTGCAACTTCTAGCTCACTAATGATTCAGGCAATACTCCTGAGAACATATGAAAGGTTAATGGGGGTCTTTAAAATAAAGGGAGTCACTGCTATCTGAACTCGCTGATCAACTGTAGATTCACTATAGGTCAATCAGATAGTACACATCTTCTGATATGATACACAGTACATAGTACAGCCTACGAAGTATTCTTGTCCCCCAAAAAGTTAGACCCAAATCTGATTTGCAGTGTGCAAAGAAAAAAAAAAAAAAAGGCTGGCCACGGTGGCTCACGCCTGTAATCCCAGCACTTTGAGAGGCTCAGGCGGGCAGCTCACCTGAGGTGAGGAGTTTGAGACCAGCCTGGCCAATATGATGAAACCCCATCTCTACTGAAAATACAAAAAAACAGCCAGGTGTGGTGGTGAGTGCCTGTAATCCCAACTGCTTGGGAGACTGAGGTGAGAGAATCACTTATATCATGGAGGCAGAGGTTGCGGTGACTCGAGATCATGCCACTGCACTCCAGCCTAGGCTTGAACTTAGACATACAGGAAACAGACAAATCCGGAATGTAGGACATTCTGTATGACAACATAATTCAGTTTCTTCAACAAATCCACCAATGAATGGAGAAAAGGGGAATTAAAGGCAAAATATCAACCAACTATAATATGTGGTCTTTGTCAAGATCCTGATTTGAGTAAACCAACTGTGAAAAGAAATTTTCGAGCTACCTAAAGAAATTCTGATATGGCCAGGCATGGTGGCGCATGCCTGTAGTCCCAGCTACTCGGGAGGCTGAGGTGGGAGGATTGCTTGAGCCCAGGAGTTCTGGGCTGTAGTGTGCTATGCCGATCAGTGTCCCCACTAAGTTTGGCATCAATATGGCGACCTCCCGGGAGCGGGAGACCACCAGGTTGCCTAAGGAGGGGTGAACTGGCCCAGGTCGGAAACGGAGCAGATCAAAACTCCCATGCTGATCAGTAGTGGGATCGTGCCTGTGAATAGCCACTGCACTCCAGCCTGGGCAACATAGCAAGACCCCGTCTCTTTTTTTAAATAGAGAAAAAAAAAAATAAAAATGTTAAAAAAAAAAAGAAATTCTGATATGAATTGGGTGTTCATAACAACACCTCATCAAATTAACAATATTAACAATAACAGTAATCAATAGTAATTACAATAGTAACCATATTGTTAATATAGTTAAATGTAAAATAATAAGAAAAAGAAAAAAGAAAAAAATATGGTTAAATGTACTGATAATGGCTGTAGCTATATGAAAACTGTCCCATCTTCTTAAGAGACACAGACCTAGTTATCTAGGGATAAGAAACCTGATGGCTAGGGCCAGGCGCGGTGGCTCACGCTTGTAATCCCAGCACTTTGGGAGGCCGAGGCGGGTGGATCACGAGGTCAAGAGATCAAGACCATCCTGGTCAACATGATGAAACCCCGTCTCTACTA